ATTCTGGGCATCCGACCCGATTTCGGTTAAGTTTTGATTAACCGGATGAATTGAATTGTTCAAGCGAGCTGCTGATCTATGCAAGGAGTATGTGCATCCGGTCGATTATCCGTTATTTCTAATTTCCCCCAGAACAGGTATGTTTCGGCTCCCCAGCAGGGGTGGTACCGAATACGACGCGTTCCGCTGCAAGCTTAGTGCGCGATTGTAGAGTGATCATTGACGAAGATGTACAGTACATGTCACTACATAACGTAAATGACCAATTTATAATCACTGTACCAATTTATGATCAATCCCATTGAGCCAATCACATCGCGGTATTTTTTTACTAGAAAGCCTCCAATAGATTATACTGCTTGAACTCGATACGTTACACACGCTAACCTTGCCGAATCACCCGGACATTCGACCTGAAAATGGGTAAGTTCCTTGCCCTGCCCCACAGATAACCTAAAATTGTTAATTGCTCTGTTGCTTGTCAGGGAAATCACAGGTGTCGAAGACGACACAGACCTACCGTATTCCCATCTACCTGTCTGTACCCAAGCATTATCCTCCTTACCCAATACTTTCACGCGCGCTGATGCCATGGCTATGCGCATCACAGGAACTCTATCCACTTCTTCACTCAAGGTCCATTCGAGTTGCAGCGACTTCGTAGGTGTTTTTGACGAACACGTTGAGTTATGCAAGGATAAGATACAAGTCACTTGGTACTGACTTGTACAACGATGAGATACAGGTAACTGCGTGTATCTCAAGTTAACGTAGCTTTTATCAGTTGCATACACATCAGTTTTTGCCCCAGCGAGAGCGGAGCCCATTTTGCGCTATAATTTATCTCCCACGAAGATGAGTACGATCTTAACTGGTTAAATAATTGGCGAAGAAGGACTATGCGATGGACAACTTGGTCACATGTGGTAACAACTGTGACGTTCCTTTCATCACTGTCTGTGCTTGGAGGGTAGATTAAACACCCCGAAACCCGGGAAGGCTGCGGGAAATGATCAACTTTACGATTCTCAAACGATATGGCAGTACATTATTCATCATCACCATTCAACACGCTAGAATCAAATCGTTATCAGCCTGAGGAAGAAAGCAGCGGTGCACAACTTTTAATTGCCATTTTGAAGGATTGGCATCTTCCTCAGTCGATTGCGCTGAGTCCCTGGACTGCACAGAAATCGATTGCATAACAAAATCTGACATTTAAATGTAAAAAATTATAACATATCAATAGACGTCTTACTCATAGGTGAGATGTATGACAGTCTACTAATGAGCTGATAAGCTTCTCCACATACTGGTAAAATAATTCTTCTTTGCCCGAAAACGTAGTCTTCGACGAGAAGCATGGGAGTTTTACGTGGACATAAACCTTTTTCCGAATGACAATGGATGTCCTTGAAGGTATTTGACCTCACAATCAAATACAATCAACGACGGATTTTAAGGGACACTTGTTCTTCGATTTCACCATGACAAAGAAAATTCATTGGACGAAGGACTTCGAAATTCGATTGATTGGTGGCCAACCAAATTCCAGGGCCTGCAATTTGAACAATTTCAAACAATCACGTATTTTAAATTGACGCGATCGATGAAGCGACTACAATGATAAGCGTTTGACGCGATAGCGCGTGTTAAAACACGTAGTGTGTCTTGAGTGAGCCCGTTCAAGTCCCGGGCGCGTCGAACTTTTTTCCGAATAGCATACAAAGTGCAAGATTGTTTTCGCCGAAGAAAAGATCATTGAGGAATAGCCTTAGAAAATCTGCGACGGAGCCCATGCCTTAATGGCTCGATGAATCATCACCAAACGCTTTTTCTGCGCCGGTACAGTCATGAGATCTACATCTTCCTCACTTTCACTACCCTCGATGAGATCTTCTTCAAGCCACAAACTGCGCAAGTGGCGCTTAAATGGGGCCATCACCCCAACGTCCAAGGGCTGCACTGTACTTGTGGCATTCGGTGGGATGGCAGCAACAACACAACCGGCCTCCTCGCTGGCGATCTTGATTCCTTCCTTGCTGACATGCGGGTCAAAGTTGTCGAGCAACAGAACCGTCGGCTCCCGAACTTGTGGCTTCAATACTTTACGAAATTACATGGCCCAGACTTGTGAATCCTCTCTTGCACTGCGTAGTGGTGCCCAAGAGGGTACGACTCAAACTCATTCGCTTCGATCGCGCCACCGGGCATGCCACGGATGATAAACAGGATGGGGAGCTTCTCGCCATTCGCACGGGCGCCCAGCACAGCTGTCATGCGGTACGAGAGCTTTTCGCCACTCGCAATCTTCGCCGTACCAATGCGTACCGACCAAATTGCATGAGGTGGCATGTCGTACGTCATACCCGTCTCGTCGACGTTGATGATGCTGTCGCCGCTGAACCCTGTGAACGCCTTGTAGTAGTCAGCAGCGAACGTGGTTCGGATGGCAGCAAGGTCTTCTTTGACTTCGCTGGCTTCTGGCGTGAAAAGCCATGGCGGTGGCAGAATCGTTGCACCAGTTTGAGCAGCGACTGGTATCCACAATTCTTGTTCGCCAGGTAGCCGTCGAGCCACGCGCGATGGTACCGCTTGAGGTAGTTGACGAGGTGGGTGCACGTTACAGCGCGTTCGGCATCACGGAGCTTGTGCATGAAGGCTTCGAGAGCGGCTGTGTCGGGGATCTCTTCGGGTCGACAGCGCCATCGAGGTTGCCGTGCCGTCGAAGGTGAAGAGCTTGGTGGTCTGGTTGGCCCAGCGTGCCAGGTTGCTCTTGGGGATCTCAGTCGCCGCCTCCACGTCTCGAGTTGAGGCTGATTGTAGCCTGCTCAGCATGGCTCGCTTAATAGCCTGGGTGTAGCGTCGTCTCGGCTTCTCCTGGGGACTGATTTTGTTGCGGCACTTTGGAGGCATTCTTTGAAGTAACTGGATGTTCGTCATCGCCTCCAAATGTCCGCGAATTTTAAATGTTTCCGCGGTAAACCATCCTTCGACCAATCATCGCCCATTATTTTCTTATTTGAATCTAATTAGCCAATTTTTCCCACCATGTTGAAAACTTCGGGTGTCCCTTAAAATCCGTCGTTGTTTGTAATCCTGAATACACCTAATTCAAGTAATTTTTAAGGCAATTGTACTCTTTTTTTAACATGTTTGCAAAATACCCGCCATCTTCCATTATTTATAAAACACTATTTGTTATAAAATTCCTAAACCTAGTACATTGTCCTAAATGGTCCTTATTCTGAATTACATGATAAAACTACTGTTTCCATCTTCATTGTCAGAACCAAGTTCGGTATCGCTTACAGGCAAATCATGAGTAAACGTATTCTCCGAAGCCAAAACCATACTCAACCTCACCATTCTCTTAGACCTGTACGCCTTCCCGGCGGCTCTCTTCGTCTTGATGATCTTTGCACCGATTGCGTTGAGACGAAGATGTACTGGGCATTGGCATCACCATCTTCTGCACACAGGGGATGGAGGCGGACATGGACGTTGATCAGGGCCAAACACGCTTGGAACACGATGTCGTAGCTCTTGCGGCTCCAACGGTACGTGTCGCTACATGTGGACCACAGCGTCTTCAACCGACCAAAGTAGTTCTCAAAGACGACGCAATCGCTGGCAATACGGTCATTCTTCGCTTGCTCCGCAATGGTGAGTTGCCACCTGCCGGCTTCTTCAACGGCAGCACCGTCCGGACGTTGTGCTGAATACCTTGGTAGCCTTTGTCAGCCAGAACTGCCCATTGCTCTAAGCCAAGCTCCGAGTCTTCGAGCGTCGTCTCGCCGGTGCGCTTTGCCAGGTTGGCCAGGTGAGAGTCGATGTTCTCGTCGAATATTGTCTTGTCCGACACGCTGATCTTGTAGAACTTGGTGCAGTCGATCGTGAAGCCATTCGGTACCACGGACACTTCAACCCTGTGTCCATACAGTGAGTGTTTGCCGCTGTAGTATATCTTTTTCTCTGCATGCGCGCCGGACGGTACATTTGTTTGCTGGAACGTGACGTCCGTGGCGTACCGAGCGAAGTTCTTGAACCAATGCCCAGCCACAGCGGGCGTCTGCATTGGCCTCTTCAGCCGTGACGAACGTTCGCATGAGGTATGCGTGGAGAACGATCAGGAAGGACATGACGCGCTTCTCGAAGGTTGTCGGCTTTTGCTTGAATACGGCCGCAACGACGTCCCAAGTGCCGCAGTGCTTTAACGACGTGAACAGCATCAGGAGCAAGTCTCGAGCGGATACCGCCCGACTTTCGTCCAGAACCGACATTCCAATGGCGGAAGACGTACTGGCGCACCTCTGTCCAGATGAGGTTGAACTCAGACGGCGAGAAGTTTGTCATCGTCACAATCCCCTCAGCTCCTTGGGAAGCGAGAAAGGAGTCGTAGATGGGTGAGTTCGAGTCCAAGTCGTCGGGCTCGTCAGTAAGAATGGTAGAGTAGCGCGCTCGTTTAGCATAGCGCTGTTTTGGTCGAGGTTCTCCAACAAGGCCACACCTTTACGAATGACCCTGGTTGTAAGTGAGGTCGCCGAGGGAGTTGGCTGAGATGCTTGCAAGCTGGAGCGGCAGGACATGGTAGGCAAAATGTGGGTGTTTTCGAGGCGTAACCAGTGTTTTTGGAAAAGAGTTAGTGTTTTGTGGGAACTATAACGAGGTTACGAGAGATCTCCACCAAACGAATTGATTCAATCACCTATTGGCTGATTGTTGTGTGACGTGGACCACTAATTCTAAGCACAATGCGATTGACCAACCAGAGATTGTCATTACTCGGAATACATATGATAATTTTAGTAGTAATGCTGATGACTTGGTAAAGACTAAATATATTGTCAGGAGGTCTAATGTATGCTATAAATTATAGCTCAAGGTGACAATAATTATTTGTGTCATCTTCACGCTAAATTTGTAGTTTACGCCAAAATGCTGTCTTTAATGTGCTGCTTCGTGGCTCAGAGATCGCCGATCAACCCAAGAACTTGGCAATGTGTAGAGAGCAGCATCGATACTAAGTAATGAAGTATCATATACTGAGTTACGATGCTTATTGCAGGATATAATCACACCCAAAGTAAGCTATATTTCAGTATTTTTGCATGTTTGAGGTCACTTCACGAATACTAAATAAGTGCAATCGCCATACACCACGTCTCGTTATGTAGCCCGCAGCGGACTCCTACCTTCACTGTAACGTTATTTATCCAATCAACTTATGATGTGCTTTTCTGCATATATTTTTTACGTTCCTGGACCAAGATCAGACTTGTATTTTTATTCGTGTACTAGTAACGTAAACGACCAGATAATCTTAACAGCGTTTGTAAGTCGAACGCGAACGCCGACGAACACTTGCAAAACCTCTCTAGTATCGGGAACATAGGGCTTCGTAGTAATGAAAATGAATATCTGGGACGCACCCAGTGGTTCTACACGCGAGTGGCGCTGGCAGACGACACCCTGGAGTTTCGGCTTCATCACGTCCACGTATGTGGCTGTGGAAATCGTCGACAAGGGCAACGATGGCGCCTCATAAATCTTACAGCCTCACATCCACTACAGTAGGAGCAATGAGCACACACACGCATGTACAAGTATAAGGATTTGTCGCTATGACTACAGTACCGCAGAAAGCATAGCTGTGAAATGGTTGCTGTTTGCTCGTGTTTATTATGTAACGTAACACGGAATAACATGAATAGGCTGCCTCACTGCGACTGAATTGGATGCCTACTAACGTTACGATGATGATTGCTGTCGTCCAGAGTTTGTACTACAAGGATGTGGTCCAAACTAGTATACAGTTAAATCTTGTGCTCCTAGTACTCGTACTAACTAACTCCTTTGACCCCCCTAGGTTAACGTTAACTGTAGATCATTGTATTCCGTTCAGCATCGTACAGTACATAGTGTTACCTACATGTACTAGTACGTACTTGTAGTAGCTTCTATGTACTGCTGTACGTTGTAATGTACGTACTGGAATACTAGTATTAAGTACGGTACTACATACTGTATGTACTGCACTTTCTGTACAGATAAGATAATACAGTCAAATTAGACTTCTATTGTGTTTATGTTCCTTCTGCATTGTACTATGCTTACTAAACTATAGTCATAAATAGTGCATTGATTATCTTGAGAAAGCTTATTATGACGCACTTTGACGGTTACTTTTTTTACTTGATTAAATTGTATACCGCTTACGCTTTGGGCGCAGTCTCCCTGTGAATCGTCCAATTACTCTGTGATCCTTAGTGCGCACTACTTTGTAGTATCGCCAAATCCCTCTATCGATTTTGTATGGCAGATTATCCTGTTTTAAATATTACTAGTACTGCACTTAAAAGATTAACGTATACTAGTACAGTGTACTTACGTAAC